CTGATTATCTGTTATCTGTTAGATTGACTATCCCCAGCCAAGAAAACATTCCTTTACTTAAAACTGGCTCTCCCTAGCTGCTATTTACCGACATGTGAGGTTTTCAATAAACAGTAATTTCAGGATGAATGGGAGAATGGAAATGGTGAAATGAAGGTGAGCCACTTTTATTCTTCTATTGCTGTTTTTGTGACAGCCTCCTATGTCAATCAAGGTGTTTCGCAACTCTTTATTGGCATAAATCCCATCTCTATTTGTGTTAGCACAGTTGGCACTGTGAATTAAAACTCTGTCCAGCTCATGTTTTTTACATTTCTAGAAGAGTCTATCATTTAAAATGATTTTTTTTTAGCTTTTGTCCTTTGAAATTGAAAAAAAAGAGAGCTCATCATATAATAGTGGGGATAATAGTGCTTTGCTGCCTGTAGGAAAACTGTTCTTCTCTTCAAAGTTCCCTTAATCTTTACTGTCCTTTATTTCTGAAATGGGATGTCACCTTAAGAAAGATCAAGCATCTTCAGATTTATATTATGAATAAAACAACCAGTCAGTGCCTAGATGTCCTGTATGCTAACTGTGAATTTCACAGTTGATGGACTAGACTAAAAGTTAATGATGTGCAGCATGAATACTTCATGACAATCAGTGGAAATGTTTAAGTGAAATAGTTCACTGAACTTCTCCGCTTCTTTATTCTTCATTTGAATCTACCAATGCATTGTTCTTGGGACCTTGCTTAGGATGTTTTGTTTCCTAGACAGATTCTTTTTGATTAAGAAACTCTGCAGTAATGGTCATGTAATGTTAGTAGTTATTTTTCCAAAAGTTTGGTGTGACAGTGACATTAGCAAATGGCACAGGAAAAATAATGAGAAGCAAATCATAATTGTGAAATATGAGATGGCCTCTTTCTTGCTTGAAACTTAAGGAGTTGTAGTCAACTGCCAAATTTCAAGGACATGCAAGATGAGTTGTATAAAGCTAATATCAAAGGTGGTATTCAGCCAGTTTGCATCAATTGGAGCGAACTGGTTGTTAATTTTTCCCCAGTTCCAAGAACCAGCTAATCCCACCTCTGGCTGGCCCCACCCACCCCTCCCCTGCCCTGTTTTGGCTTCCACGGTGGTGGAGGAGCCCTTCCAGGCCCAAAATGGAGCATAAGGGAGCATCACATGGCCACCCCGCATCCCATTTTAGCTTCCAGGGTGGTGCAGGAGACCTTCCAGGCCCCAAACCCCTGCTCTAGGGTGAGTTGGGAATGGGGATTTTGCATTATGATTGCTCATAAGTAGGAACCAGTGGAATAGAAAATATTCCTATCTATAGATCAGCATTTTTCAGTCTTGACAAATTTAAAATGGGCGAACTTCATGCTGTCATGGGAATTCTTGAAGTACATGCACCTTAAAGTTGCCAAAGTTGAGAAGCATGGGTCTTACACTAGAGCTTACGATTTTCCATTCCTGTTTTATTTAGAATTAAATAAATCAGTTGTGGTTTTGTTAACAAATAGTGATTAAAGTGATAGGAACCATTACTGGATTTTTTGTGAGAAACTGAAATTAAAAGTTGGTTTGAGCTTTGATGATTAAATAAGGGATTGTGGAAATAATGTTGACAAATGTTAAGTGATATATTTTTTTAGTTACATCTGTACCAAAGAAAGTTAGAAATCATTCTTGTTCAGTTTTCTTTCTTTTCCTCTTTCTTTCTTAGACTTTTGTTCTTTTTCTTTCCTGAGTCTTTTCTTTTTTCAAATCTATTTTTTATTTGTTTATCCCTTAGCTTTGTATTTTTGATGTATGAAGGATTAAATACTCAGTCATTATTATTCAACATTCCTTATTTATAGAAATCATATCAAAATTTAGAATGAAGTCCACTGGGAGCCCTCTCATATAAGGCAGGCTCCAAGTCCCTCTAACCAAAAAATATTTATCAATAGAAGAGAATATTTGAAGCTCAGGATTGAACTGTGGGTTCCTTGGTGCTCTCTGAGCTTGATGGTTTTCTTGCAGATGTTTCATTACCAAACTAGGTAACATCATCAGTATTAGAAGAGAGTGGAATTTGCTCTTTTTTCATATACTAGTGACTTACCCTGTCAGTGTTGATCAGTTACTTCACAAACAGATTTTTGATTGGTGCTGAGTCTCTATAGCCTCAGGCAGAGAAGGGTTATTCTGCAGCCCTCCCTCAAATGTTCTTTAAAATGCAGAGTTTACCAGCATTCCTTTAGGAACCTCCAACATGCAAACTGTGGTAACTCATCCTAAAATGAATCCTCTTTACCTGGCACTTCAAAATTTGCTGTTTGCAGGTTCTGGTTTGAAGTCTCTTCGGCGATAGACAGAAATCTGTGATTGTGCACGGTTTCAGTCTGGGCTCACTGCTGGAGCACCCTGAGCTGGCTGGTTTCAGGGCTAAGCCACCCCGTAGAGGTGGTGAAGAGGGGGGAGACAGCCAGCAGGGTTGAGGAGAGCCGCATCTCTCCTCCTCAGCTGGCCATTACTCCCTTTCCCAAAGGCGGATGCAGCGGTGGTCAGAAATGGCCACCACAAAGAAGAACTCAACAGGAAAAGAATGTGCAGGAGCAAGATAAGAGGTGAAAGTTTTGGCTCACTGGGTTAAATTGTAAAAGCAACAACCAAGGTACCCTGGAATTTAAACTTACAAAAAAATAACATCACTCCCAAAGAAGAGTCGGAAGCAGTGAAGGAAAGTGAAAGGGAAAGGTTTGGTGTTTTTTTTCTTCTCTCTCCTTCCCTATACTGACAACAAAGTGACTTAAATAAGAAATCGGAAAAATCCATTTTGACATCAATAGGCAATTAAGCTGAAAATAAAACAAAATGTCAAAGGGATAATAAAGATTTCTGGACACTATTTTTTTTTTTCATAAGCAGGAAGGGAGAGAAAAAGAATAAGGGCAAGATCTGGAAGAGGGAGGAGACTCCCTGGAATTAAAAAGAATCTACAGCAAAACTTCAACAAGACTTCTAAAAGATACATTTTAACTGAAACTTTGTAACTAAACAGTAACCCCAGGAAGAGAAAGTGAAAAAAAAGAGCAAAAAGAAACAGCTTGCGTGTATTTGGATTATTTGGTGATATTTGGATTCTTGGTTATTACATTTGAATGACTAAAATTAATTGGGTGGTTGTTTAAAAATTTATACAATGGCACTAATTCTGGATGAATTGAAAATGGAACTTAAAAAGTACAAAGAAGATGCACAAGAAGGGAAGGGTTCTTTTGGCTTTGTTTTTCAATTCTTAGAAATGGAGATTTGGAACTATGAGAAACAACAAGAAATGACTGCAAAACAAGAAGACTGGGACAAAGAAGAAGCCATCTTTAATGAACAAGTAACTCTATGTGGGGAAGAAAAAGGAAAGGTGGGGGAAGAGGATGGAGAATTTAAGACTTAAAAAAACAACCAAAGAAAAAAATTCAAAAAGTAAGTATAATACTGGAAAGCAACAGAAAAGGGGAATACAGAAGAGAGAAATAGAGGTAGAGGGACAAGGGGGTAAAAAGGGGAGAGAGAAAAAGAGAGGGAAGAAGGAAAGGAAAAGAAGTTACAAAGGACCGGAGCAAGATAAAGAAAAACAGGACCTATTTAGAGATAATGGGTGAAAATCTAACTGAAAAAGGGATTCTGTAAAGGTACATAAGATTGTATTGTTATATTAGTAATAGAAATAACTTTAGAAAATTGGAAACAATGTATGATTAAAATGAGGGATAAAATAGTTAGTGTAATTTAGTGAAATGTTTGTGAATAAAATAAGTGAAATAAAATAAATGAGAAACTTGAATTAGGAAGGAATGGGAACATTTTAATTAGTTAATGTTTTAAAAAATGTAAGTGAAGGGGGGGAATTAACTATAGAAAGCTTATAATTGTTTCCATAGAAGTATGATATTTAATTGAAAAGTAATGTTAAAGATGTTAAGACTTTAATGAATATTAATGATAGAATTGAATTGGAATTGAATGTTGTTTAAATTATATACATTTATAATTTTTTCTTTGTTTAAGAATACAGTGTGTATTTTAAGAATGTACCAAGCAGAATCCGAATGGAAGTTATGCCTCCCCACTGGGCCCTCTGCTCATCCCACCAGGGCTGCACCAGAGCCGGGTGGGCTGGGCAGAGCCAGGAAAGCGAGCCATGGGTGCACGCCTGCCTGCCAAGTGAAAGAGCCGGGTTGACCCGAGCTTGGCTTCCCAAGTCCCTCCAGCCTGAACCCAAAGGGGCTACCAGGAGAGGCTGCCTGAGGCATTGATAGTGCCCACCCATCCATGGACAGGGAGGCAAGCTCAGGTCAGCCCAGCTCTTTCGTTTGGTAGGCGGGCGCGCACCCGTGGCTTGCTTTCCTGGCTCTGCCCAGTCCGCCCGGCTCTGGTGCAGCCCTGGTGGGATGAGTGGAGGGCCTAGCAGGAAGGCACTTGCTGCCTTGGTGAGAGCTCCACCGCTGGGCAGGAGGGCCCACCTGTCAGCTGCGCTGAGCGCCCCAGGTGAAGCTCTTTAGGAAAAAGATATAAAGATGTCATACTACAATCAGTAATTACAGGAGAAATTTTGTTTAATGAGAAAAGATAATAGATAATTGAAACAGGACAGACAAAAAAATATAAATACAATAATTTGAATTGAGATGAGATAATTAAAATAAAATTGAGAAAATTAAAAGAGGGGAGAAGCTATGCAGAAAATGTAAAATAGTAATAAGATATGGAATAGAATATAAAAATGAGCATGAACCTGAATTTGTGTCTGTACAAAGAAATGTAATCCGGGATTACGCTACTTTCAAAAAAGATGTTTTGTTTGTATTTTTTTTCTCTTTGTGAAAACTCAAATAAAATTTACGAAAAAAAAAATTCTGTTTGCTGGGGAGGTGTGTAACTAAAAGTCAGTCTACATTTAGTGTACATCTGACTTTGGGAATATTTCTTCATAACCAAACAAAAGTGTATTTTTTATGCAGTTCACACTTCTTTCTCACTGGATCTGGATGTCACAAAGCAAAGCCCACATTTTGTAATTAAGCTCCATGCCCCGTTTGGCTGGCAGAGTGCTGCAGGAAGCTGAGTGCTGTCCTATCCCCTAGCAACGTCCATCCTGGCCATGCCCACCCAGTCAGTCATTAAGGCAGAGAACCAGTGCTTAAATTATTTGAATCCCACCATTGGCTAATATGTACTCTCTGCAATTAAAAAAAAAAAAAACCTTTGCCTTCTTTCTTATAGAATAAAATTAATCAAAACAAAGCTTGTTTATTCACTTATTCCTATAAAACAACATTCTCAAAATATGGTCTCTTTGTTGTGAGAATGGCATCATCCATGCATAAAAAATGACAATGTCATAATGAGGATGGGCTGGAGTCATGTGTTACACTATGCCATAATGCTGGTTGAATAAACCCATTATTGTGGATTTATAAACACTGGTTTATGGCTTTGAGTAAGCTATAAATAGCCAATTGTACTTCATTCAGGAAACTGTAGTTAAGTTAATCTTAACAACGTGTACAGACCCCCCAAAAAACACATAATAGTCATTTAGCCAGTTGCAACAAGTTCCTGGCATGCTGTTTAATTCTTTTATTGGCTTGTTTTTGCATTGTAATATTTTTAACCCTTGTTAGCTACCCAGTAATAGGCTCCCAACTCTATATCATTTCAGGCTGTCATTGAGCAACCACTGTAGATTTGCTACCAATGCATGGTGGAAAAATAGCTGTAATTTTTTCCCCTTATGGTTTATTTATGATATTTATAATCTGCTCTGGAAAAAAAAAAGCCTTTAACTAAGCCCATATAACTTCTGCAGCTATAATGCTAGCTAAAATAAACCATCTACTAAAGTCATTCCTCCTGCTTTCCAATACTAGCTTAGTAATAAACTATAAGATTAATTCATGCCTAAGAGAAC